AGCCACTTTGAGCTTAACAGATTTTGAGAGACAGATGGTGCCTAGGTAAAGGGTCATCACAAAAAAAAGTTAAACATATTTATCTTTGCCTTGCATCTTGCTGTGAGAACAATTTACGGTGCTAAGTAACAAAGTAACCTGTTCTAGTCCTCTCTGGTTATGGCTTCTCTCTAAGTCAGCTAATTGCTTTCCATTTGAAATGTTAATTCATAGCTGATTATCAATATTGACCAGATAACACTAGAACCTGAGGCCTGCTTGAGGTGAGAATTCAAGCTTTGCAAGATGATTTCGGACACAGGCCTTGATAGTTATGTATCCCTTCAAGGTACATGGTTAGAAATGAAGGAGAGCCACCTTACTGTAGACATAGGTTTCATGAATTATAGAATAATTAATGTTGGAAGGGACCTCAGAAGCCTCTGGTCCAATGCCATGATCAAAGAAAGTCCAGTGTAGAAATTATATCCAGTTTTGAAATTATGTCAGAGCCTTATCCAGTCATTTTGAGTACATCCAATGACAGAGATCTCAATACACCTCTGGGCCTCTCTTCTAGTGCTTAAACACCCTCACTATAGGTTTTTTTTACCATGTGTAATCAGGTTTTCCTCTGTTCCTTCATTCAGTTTGACAGTGGAGACTGCTCTTCTCTGTCCATTCCTTCATCAAGCACTATCCCTTTATATGTTTGGGTCATTCTCACACACCATCACCTTAATTCAAAAGCACCCTGTCATGGTACCGCTATGTTATTATCCCCCTTATGGTTGGTAAGGTTCTCAAGGATCACAGAACTCTCTGAGGCATCAGCACTGGTGGTTACTGGAAATGACGTGAAGCACCTAATAACAACGATAGGTGTTCTCTGGAGGCAGGGATCCTTCCTCCATTATCCTCTCATTTCCATCATGTTTTTGCTGAGGTAGCAGGAGTAGAGCCAGCCCTATCAGTGAAGTTCTCGTTTCCATGGAGGTTCACCATGGGGTTTCTGGGGGATGCTGCAGCATCTGAGATCTGGCCTCCTCCCCTCCAGACTCCAACAAACAGCAGCTATAAGACCAAAACTAACACAACCATCCAGGAAGATATATTCGGAATATAGAACACTCTAAATGCATGCTTTCCCTCTCTTTGTCTCTGAAATACTTTATTTTCTCTCAAGAGAAAACCATCACTAGCAAGGAGGTACGGCTGAGAAGGTAGATAGCACACTAGGCAGGAAAATGGAGGGAAGATCCATCTTCCTTCAAAGATGCTTCATCTGGAATCAGTCAAAGAGAGAACAGAAATGCAGGGAATGCTATATCCATATATATTCATAACATGCAAACAATTATAAGGGCTCCTTACACATGCCTAACGACCGTAACCTTCACTGAGCCTTTTTTCAGTTTCAGGTCTGGCTGTGACCTGGATAGGATAGTGATGTTTTTATCCAACATTCAGTTCTAACGATCATTGTCAGGGAAATCAGAGGCACCGTGTGAGAAGAATCCCACACCAGACACCCTTTTGAAAGACAGACTGTAATTAAACACGTGCTATCAAGCTCAGTTACTGGACTGAATTTATCAGCTTGTACTACAGAGGCTGGAGAGATGATTTAGTGGTTTCTATGGATCTATATTCTCATCCAAACTTACATAAGGCTGAGATACCATTAAAGCATATGCCTGATTAAACATTATTATCTTGTTATAAGCAAACTGAACTAGGTAGAATAAATTTCATCAACTAAAAAAAACAAAAGATTTTTTTTTAGTGAGCTGCAATAAAAAATGTCCAACAGGAGTTTCGTGGAAACACATTTTCTTCAGTACAGCTTCATGCCACTCTATCTATCATTGTTCCATGAAAATTCCATCTTAAATATATATATTTTTTTAAATCCAGTTTTAAGTGACATTAAATTCAGTCTTGTGATCTGTGACCTGAGAGAAAAATGTTTGAGGACCATCTTGATTTTTGCAGTTATTGAAAAGAAAGGTCACAACCTACATTCATTCTTTTGAAGTGACATGTAACATAAATGCATACATATTTTTCATTATGCCATTTTTCATAACATCCCAAATTCTCAGAAGCCTCTCATTCTCAATTTTCTTCTAAGTCCAGAGATGCTCTTTACCACTCAGATTAAATGAAATTTGCATATGTTTGCCCTCTAGGGCTAGTAGATTTTTCTCTGTGTCCAAAAAATACAACCTTTTTTCCATAAAGTCTCTAGACAAATTAATGAGTCAAGTGCCAGCGGCCTCTCATGCCCGTCCATGGCACACACAGTTTGTTCAGAACTTTTCAGAAGCAATAAAACATTAAAGCTTGTCAACTTTGTGTCTAAACTGCTGCTTCTCCCTTGGTTCACTGGAATAACTTGAGTATAATGTGTTGTCCTAGAAAGATATTCATATTAAAAATCTGAAAGATCATCTCTCCAGTAGAAGAGGCCAAATAATACACACTCAGGACCTGGCCCATCAGCTTAATTCTCACTGCAGCCAACAAAGCTCGTCCAAGATCTTTGTGAAACATTGTGGGTTGTGGAAGTGAGGGAAAGGGAGATGTTTGCATTCCCAGGTCAAACGCCCGCTCCAAAGCATAAGGAAATCAACTCATCCCATTTGAAATTTTTTGCGTGGGCTGCAATTTAATAGCTTCGCTTTTTCCCTTCAGTGATCCCACTGCTGAACTGTCAGACTAAATCACGGCAAAATCAGGACCAAGACCTTTTATGGTGATATTTTGTATTACCAAGGAGTCATCTTCAGTTAGAGTGCTGGAGGCACTGCCTTCCCCACTAGGAACATCCCATCTATTCAAGCAGCACAGCTGAGTAACTCCTCCAATTTGGGGCAAAAGAGCTCATAGGAAGAGAAACACTCTAAGTCGTAAGGACATGTTTGTTTAAATCTAGGAAGTCTACAAGATGTTACAGAAAAAAAACTAATTTCTGTTTCATTTGCCAAACTTCACGGACGGAACACTGAGAAGAAGACAGAAACTTTGCTAACTTTCATCTGCAATCCATATTGTCTGAGCTCTACTACAGACAGTTATTGGAAGTTTGTAAGTACCTAGTGGCATTGTCCTGACACCAGTGGCTCTCAGAGAGGCATCCCTGCTAGAAGTGGTGATGAAGGAAATGCCACTCTATCCACATGAGGTCCCAGCACTCAGTGAGATCCACAGTAAATTTTGTTCTGAAAGGAAAATAGCCTGTGAGTAGTAGCCTGTAAGTAGAATCATGGAACCATGGAAAGGTTTAGGAAGGGACCTTAAAGATCACCTCTTAACCTTGAACTGGCTCCCAGAAATGCCCATTCAAACTGTAATACTGGTGTGATATAGCTGGGAAAACCACTGTTATGGAAATAATTCCAGAACTGATAGTAGATTGTTATCAAGGCATAGAAGAAGTAGAAGAGGTGAATCATCCTGCCTTTCAACAAGTCTGATTATGTCTGAACTCATTTAAGTTCCAGAAGGGAAGTTGGCTCATGACCTTGGACAGAGAACTTCAGAGTGCTGTACTGGAGGAGCTATTTCTCACACTAGGAGACAGCTGAAAGAATCCCAGAAGAGATAAAAAAGTGAAAGCCTGGTACCAACAGCCAACTGGTCCTAGGCCAAGTCCACAGAATGGAAGCCTGCTAGGATAATACGAAGTCCTGACTATGAAATTCTGTGTCCCAGGTTCCAGCCCTGATGTTCACTGTGGCACTGCCAAAAAAAAAAAAAAAAAAAAAAAAAGAAAAAAAAAAAAAAAAAAAAAAAAAAAAAAAAAAAAAAAAAAAAAAAAAAAAAAAAAGAAAAAAAAAAGTAAAAAAAAGGAAAAAAAAAGAAAAAAAAAAGAAGCTTGCTGTCTACATGGAAGATTCTCCTTCTACATTAACAGTGTAAACCTGATGAATATGACAAGTATCACTGAAAGGACATGCCAGACTTCTGGTGCCTTTAACCTCATCAGACTGCAGCAGAGGGGCTCACAAAAACAAAGTACAGTCACAAGAAACTCAGATACATGGCAAGGTTTGGAGTAACTGCAGTCCCACAGTTCAGGTATCTGTACTTTTGGGGGAAGATTTCACCTCCCTATTTATTAAGAGGTCAGAATATTAATGAGGAAGAGGGGAAATGAAGAAAGGCAAAAAAAAAAAAAAATAGTGGTGCTTCTTTGGCTGAAGTATAGAAAAAGTTGCAGAGCAGCAGGGTGAGAAGACATGCCCATTCTTTCTCAGAGTGCCAGACAGGGAGCCCCCAATGAAATTAAGAAGCAGCACATACAAATTACACAAAAAAAAACGAAGCCTTGGAATTAAATCCTGCTGAGACACAAATTTTAGCTGGACAAAGACAACATGCTTAATGCAGGTAAATGAGACACTGTCAGCAGGAGAAAAGATATAAACCTCTCACACTTTGGGGTGTAAGTCAAATGTTGAAGGGATATTAGTGAAACATTTCTTGCTTGATTAGCAGTACCTAAAATTAATTCCCAGGAACACTACTGACCCTGTCCCCAGCCCTCTTTTCTGAATGCAACAGGCATTGATCACTCAGAGATAGATATCCACACAGAAAAAACTCTCTCAACTCAGTGTGGCAATCCCATTATAAAAATGGGTCATCTGCAACTTAACAAGAGCCCAGCTCAGAAGTAATGCTCACACATGCCCAGGAATCATATTTGTAATTAATGAGAAACTTCAAAGAAGTCTTAAAATGAAGAGCAATAATTTTATAAACTGAGAAGTCTTCTTTTCCTGTGCCCTGACTTCTCAGGCAATAAACTGAATTTGACAAAGCTTTGTGAACAAAGGAGACCTACAAAGAGGGCTGGGAAATTCAGATGCACATTAACAGAAACTTCTGCAAGAGCAACAGACTGATGGGACTATGATTCTGTGCAAAAACATCTCATGTCCCTATAATCAGGCATTGAAGCAGGTTCCACCTCCCAAGAATTAATTACACTGACAGCAGGGGACACTACTTACCTCACCATTCAAGAAGCAGTAAAATACTGACACAAAGAAACCCTGGAAAGAATAGAAAGCAACTATTAGGTAAGTATTTGAACATGCAGAATCAGGGACTGAGCTTTACCCTTTGATCACCCTGAGCAAAAACATAATCTTGTTGAGATCATCCACTTCTAGACAGATGAAATCTTTACCCTACAACTTCATGAGAAATACCAAGTGTCTTGCAGTTAACAGCTGAGACATGAGAGCTAGAATCTAGAGAGCTCTTCCACTGATAGAGGGGATTGCCACTTCAGCTGTGCTAAAGCATATCTACAGCTTCCAGCTGTGTCCCCAAAATCACACAGACCCCTCACAGGTGCTATGTCATGCTTGCCAGCTCTCTGCGGATGTCTCAGACACCACGGGTGGGTGGTCTTGTGTGGGAAGTGCATCATCAGGTTGCCTACGTCCATCTGAGCTGAACTGCTCTGTGGAATCCACTGAGAGCAGTGACCAGACCCCTGTAACGACTGCTAGGATTGGAATGCCTGTAATGGAGCTCAGATGACAACACGATGACACATTGAGCTCTAAACCTGTAAGCAGAATCCCATTTTGCTTTCAGCAATGGACTGTAATTATTGTCACCATAGAGAGATTCCCCATCTTACATATGTCTTCATATCACTGACAACAAAATAAGCAGTGTCGCATTTTTTGAGACACTGAGCAACAGCAGATAAAAAATACAATTATTTTAGGGAATGAAAAATGTGGTTTGGTTCACTGGTAAAGGCTAAAGTTCCTTTGTTCACTGATTAAAGGGGGCATTTTTCATTTTGGATATTCAGTTTCAATTTCTGCTGGGATGCTCTGTGTTTCAAAGCTAAACATGCATTCAATAAAAACAGTAATCCAGAGCTCGAAACTTTTGTAATCCATAACCCTAGATTTGGCTTGACAGCGTGTGTGCCGTATATTTGTATTAATATCCTGGGTATCAGAGTGTTTTTTCCTGCAGATAACACATGTCATAATGTCAAGTATAGTTCCACCAGACTTCAAGAAGGTCTTTAAGCAGAGGTAGAGCTGTAGGACACACCTATCATGGACTTCATTGCCATAGAATCACAGAATGGTTTGGGTTGGAAGGGACCTCAAAGATCATCCAGTTCCACCCCCCCTGCCATGGGCAGGGACACCCTCCACTAGCCCAGGTTGCTCAAAGCCTCATCCAGCCTGGCCTTGAACCCCTCCAGGGATGGGGCATCCACAGCTTCTCTGGGCAACCTGGGCCACTGCCTCACCACCCGCACAGGGAAATAAGTTCCATCCTTGAAAAGCACTGAGGATCCTTTCAGCAGTAGCTGGTCTCAGCTCTCTTACCTGAAAAGACTGCAGGAAGGAATTGAAATAGATGAAGACAATCTGGGAAATGTCATCTTCACCCGGGTTGACAAAGAAAAGCATGTAGGTGATGCCTAGCAGAGGCAGGAGAACTAACGTCGCCTTCACTGCCTTCCTGTGGGGAGGAAACAGAAACAAAAAAAAAGAACCACTGTGTTATCTGAACTGCTGTAGATTGACAGAATCCAAATAAATCACTCCTTTAGTGGAGGAGAAGTCTCAAAGCAGTTCAGAGGGAAGTGAAGTACCTCCATCAGCTAGAGAGGGAACTGAGGTGCCTCCTTAAGCCAGTTCAGCACCTGCACATGTCAAACAGGGTGAGAAGAAAACAAAAGGGTGGCCTAAGATGTCTCTGCTCAGGGCTGTCCAATATGTACAGTCACTGGAGGAAAGAAGCATTTCAAGAGAGAAATCCACATGTCAACTTCTGTCCAGTGTCTAACATGAGTGAATGGAGTTGGGGAACACAAGTCCTGCCTGCGGGTACCTCCATCCTCGAGGCAGGCTGCTGGGGTATTTGGTGAGGATAGCAGTGGAAGCCCATATTTGCACAATGGCCAGATAATTTGAGCTTTTTCCCAGGAGGACATCCAAGTTTTAGACACTTCTCAGCCTGCTTGCACAGTCCCAAGGTTGGTGACCAGCTTACTGTGCAACCCAAGCTGGAGGCTCCCAGCTCCTCAGGAACTGAAGACCACAAGTTTCTTAGGACTTGGGAGCAGGATATTTAAGAGGGAGCCCATGAATGTATGAAAGGCTGGATGGAGTTTAGCAGGGGAGAGAGTGACAGCCTCCACTGCAGGTTGTGCAGCCACAGCTGAGTTTGCTGGTTAACACTTTCTGACCAGTGTCTGACACCTGGAGAAACACGTTCTGAGAAAGCACTTGCCTCTGAATCCTGCTGCTTGTCCCCACGCTCTAAACTCCAAGGGACAAATGGAAACCTTTTTCACATCCCTCCTTTTCTTTCTCTTCCTCCAGACAGCTTCTCTCCTATCAATGAGGCTTGCATTAAGCTGAAGCCTTGAGATTTTCTGCATCCCCAGTGAGTGATTTCTTACACCTCCGGGTGATGTGATAAGTGCACAGTTTATCTTCTGACCAGGGCATGAATGCTGTGCCAGTGACACCTGCCCTACTCCCACCTTTTAATTCTGTCTGGATATAAATTCTCACTCTCTGCAACACCTGCACGCCCAGCACAATCGCTTAGGGCTGTCTTATAAACAAGAAACAAGGAGAACGTACACAATGAAGCATAAGTGATTAGTCACAGAATTATTAGGGGCTCATCTGTATTATTAGTGCTATAATAGCATCTTGGGATGTCAGTTGGAGAACAGCACCTCATTGTGCTAGACATTGTACAAACACAGAAGACTTCAATTTTGCTAAGTCTGCATAAATCTCTGCATAATGCCATAACTGGCAGGTAAAGACAGACAGGTAGGCAGGCAGGGGAGCACGAAAGCATTGCCAGTGTCAGGATAGACTGACAGTCTTAACAATGTATCTGCCACATAATTTATTTAATACTTGCTTAACAAATCTTTGGACTACGCAGCTCTAGAGCAGCAAGGCTAGCCCCAGGCCTTCCTGGAATTATAAGGATTTCTATTTAGGCTGTGAAAAAGAAGATTCCCTCACAGAGCTTGTAGCTAGGATAAGATCACTGTCATCTGTTCAAGGACAAAGGTAGTTACTTTAGGCTGCCTCAGAATCTAATAAATGCTCCCTGCCAACTGCAGCAGGGAGAAAAATACACTGAGATTTGAATCATTTTTTTTTTTTCATTACAGTTTTAGTTTCTTGGCATGAGGTTTGAAAAAAGGGGTATTTTTCCCCCTTAATTTCTCAGGAAATGTGCAGAGAAAATTCTGAAGAAGAAAATCAGACCACTGCATTAACTTCACATTTGTCCCCAAACCCCAGACAGGAGTAAAAGGAAGGAATTAGGCAAAACAACAAAACCCGATTACTGCAGCAAAACTGCCTCCACGGCAGGTCACACAGCCAGCCAGCTCAGGAAGCTGATCCACCCGAGAAACCACCCCATAAAAAGGTACTGATTAATTAAGGATCAGTTGTGTGATGCAATGATTACATTAATGGTGGGGCCAGCTGAAGGGAAAGGGCACCATCGCCCTTCATTCCTACGCTCTGCACTTCAAAAAGAACATTAAACCCTTCTGTAAATATCTGTACGTGCACAGTAATCATTAGAAATGATACTGTTATTGATTACAGATATGAGTGGTTTGGCCAAGGTTCTGTTCTTCATTGAATCATAGAAAGGTTTGGGTTGGAAGGGACCTTAGAGATCATCGAGTTCCAACCCCCAAAGCCTCATCCAGCCTGGCCTTGAACCCCTCCAGGGACGGGGCATCCACAGCTTCTCTGGGTAACTTGTTCCTATATGCATATACCTAGTCTATTACATATGTTCAGACCATACAGGAGGTAAAGAGGCTGGTGGCCGCAGCAGCACACGAGTCTCTGTGCCTGTACACCGAGGCTCTTGGCACTGTTTGGACATGGAAATGGAGCAGACAGAAAAAATGTCGGCATGTTTTTACAGATAGCCTGCAAAAATAAATATTGTGTACCGAACTACATGAGCTCAAGGGGCAAGAAAGACACCCTCTGAGATAAACAGTGGCATTTGGAAAGACAAAGATGGGACAAGGACAGGGCAGGCAAGGCAGTTCTTTGTGAACACCACAAACAGCAAGAAGCACCAGCTGACTTACCTGTACTGTATTGTTTCTGAAGTGGTTGAAGCTCTCAGCTTTGTCATTAAAATCCTAACTATGTTAAATAGAAATACGAAATTTATCTGGAAAAAAAGGGAAGAGAAAGATATAAATAAAACCAGTGAGTCAAACAGTGGCTTAAAGGATGTGATACACCATAAAAGGCACATTTTGCAATTCAGATCTGATGCCTCTTGGCTTTAGTAAAAGGCACATTGAGCAATTCAGATCTGATGCCTCTTGGCTTTATCATTAGTTGCAACAGAATTTTACTAGAAATATCAGATTATGCAGCAAATATCTAAGAGCTATTACAGTTTTCAAAACAGTAATGAAAATGGAGTACAAAACTAACGGTCCCAGCAAGAAACTTATTTTTTCCTCCCTTTTACACCTTTCCTGGGTGCTACAAGGAACTAAGGGTGGAATTTGGCGTTTTGCATCTGTCTCTGGCTCCGCTCACGCAAGGCTCCCTGCACAGAGTATCTGGCAGCAGTGTGCTGTGTCCATACAGCAGGTGTTTGAAAGCATCCTCCCATTCCAGAGCGGGCTGTAATGGTCAGGTAGAGCTCCCCAGACCCAAAGCACACGGTGGCGTTGCAGAGATCTGAACGTGAGCTAGTCACGCTGGACTCTGTATTTGGGGGAGCCTGTGGGCTGCACTCCACAAGCGAGATACAAACAGAGCAGATGAATCATATCTGAAAAATGCCTTTTTTTTTTTTTTTGCGCTGTCTTTAAAGGTGAGATGATGGATTTACCACTTCTCTTTTTAATCCGTTGAGCTGGGTAATTATTATTTCTGTTACCATCTCACTGCCAAGAGTTGAGATTTGCTCTAATTACTGTTGTTGTAGCATCTGCTAGCGAGTTTCTTATATAAGTTTCCTCTCAGTGTAAACAGGAATAAAAAAAAAACAAACATGAAAAGGAGATTATGATTTGTAGACCATGATCAGCAGCAGGATTTGGCACCTAGGAGCAAGCTTTGGGTGGCTTTCAACACATAAAGGAGGGCAGCTTGCAACATACAGATCTTTCTCAAAATTGTTGACGATGTATGCTGTCAGAATTACAGAACCGTTGTCTCAGGACTGCTGGGGTCACAACCTGAGCTTACGAGAAGATATTTATCTTGCACGCATTCCTGAATCCCAGAGCACCTGGCATTTTGCAGTCTACAAACGGAACAATTCTGTGATTGACTTCCAACTATATGAACACTGTAGCAGAGCTGCCAATTTAACAGTGTTCTCAAAATATGCTCCTTTTGTTTTCTGTGCAATGTGATGTATTTCAGTGATTACAGCATCTTGGCACCCATCATATTGTTCCCTGCGGTTACTGTAACATGGTTTATAACAAATAGCGCAATAAGCACCTGAACAGACACTGGGAGACGGGCAGTGTTGGGAATCATGTACATTAAACACTTATTACGTGAGATACAAAAATGCTGCTCTAGGAGTTCACATGTGACATTTTTTGAAATGATTTTTTCTGAGCAGAGCAGGGCCTTAGGGAGTATAAGAAATAAAACCGCAGTTTGTATTCTTGTTCTTGCTAGAATTGTCTTTGTCATATTTAAGAGCTTGAAGTCAATTGGTTCTCACTTTATTTAGCAGAGACAAAAACTGCTTCACATCCCTGGTTTGACTTGAAGCTTAAACTCCTCACATTGGTGACTGCACCCTTCCTCAGAAACAGAAAGAGAAATGTTCAGGCAGCCTCTACTGAGGGGGAGGTGGATGTCCTTCACCCACAGAAAGAAAACTCCTGCCTCTGATATTCTTCTACCATATCTTGAGGTTCTTCGTCAGCTCAGAGACAGGTTTGGGTTACTTCTATAGAGGATGAAAAAAAGGCACCAGCCCAAAACTTGGCACTTTTGCAATCATAATAGAAGGTGTCAGATGGAATTACAGACTCCTAGGCAAGTTCCAAATATAAGTAGGACTAATCACATGAGACTAACATGATGAACCGGACCAGAGAAAGCATTTCAAGTTTCATGAGTCCTACTCTGATGTGACAGCAGGGAACTGGAAATGCAAATTGCTGCTGGCTGCATCAGAAAAATTAGTGATTTTGATCTTCTCTGAAATTATATTGCAGAAGTGTGATTCATCAGCCCAGAAGAAAAATTGCTAGCTGAAAAGTTGGGAGTTACTTCACTTAGAAATACTTTTATTCTATATAAATTATTTTTTCAGTTTCCAACTGTTTTCTCCAAGCTCCCCCTATCCAAGGGTTGCAGAAAGAAAACAGTGACGACATAGAGAAAGGATGTATTATATTAATACTTCTCACCTAGATTTTCACATCTGTTTGCACCGATCCCTGGTGACAGCTGGCTTTCCCATCTGACCGTCTCAGCTGATGCTTACTGTGTGCTGGGTGCCACCAAAAGCTGAGCATCCCAGTGCTAGCACAGCCCATGGTACCATCTGAGGCACTATGGGTGGCACTGGTACCTGTGACACAGGGCTGATAATAGATCACGACTGTCAACAGCAGCAACAGGAAGGCAGATACATCAGTGCTTGGGACCAAGCCTGTCAGGGACATTATTTCTAGAACATTTTCTAGGAGAGGAACACTGAGGCCAGAAGAGGGGCATCGGCCACTCACCCTGAGTCCTCTTCCTAGTTCTGGCATTGAATATGCTGCATATCCTTGCTCACATGGGCAGCGATCAAGCTTGTGAGTCTGAAGAGAGACACTAAAATCCACCTGAGGATGTACTCAGTAATCTCAAATTTGCATTTCAGAGTGACTGTCAATCTGCTGCTTCCATTAATGTTTGTAGTCATGTACTTGTCAACCAGGTGGATGGTCTTGCAAACATCTTATTGTTCTACTGTTTTCCTTCTATCTTTATCCCATTTTTATTGCCATGGTGTACCCTGCCTGACCTCAAATTACTACTTCAGAACAGTGTGGGGTTTCTAGAGGATCTGTATCCTCTCTGCCAGACCATGTGGGGCTGATAGAGCATATGCAAAGGTACTATGCACCTAAGTTTAGGCAAAAAGATCTCTTCTCTGAGTTAAATTAATCCTATCTTGATAGTCTGAACACTTCCCACTGGAACAGCTGTGAACACAAGTCACACTGAATTTTGGAAAAGCATGAAGGAACAGAAGAAGACTTCTTTGGCTAATGGCTGCCTTAACCCTTTTGGCACTTTGGTGCTACAGTACTAACTGTCATTCACAGAAAATCTGTCCCGCTGCTCACCCAAGGTTCCAGAAACACCGATCCCAAATTCCACCGTACCTAACTGCAGAAGCAAACTCAGACCTGGGAGTTTTATTTCCTGTTCTGATCCTCATACATTGCTGCTCTGTAAATAGCAAACCTGGATCCAAACTCCTCTGGAGTACTAGGGAGGGTCCCAAGTTTAAACTGGTCTGAACTCCAGACCTGACATTTACTCACACAATTATACTTTGCTTTAATAAATGAATTTAAAAACCTCATCAAAGCCTTGGTAGTGACCTAAGGACAAATGTCAGACCTGACACTCAGTCATCACCCACCCTGCATATGTGTAAAGAAAGAAAAACACTCAATGACACTGCCCAAGTACAGAGTCCTGGCTTTCAGCAAGAGGGAACCTGAGGACATTTGAAGACCAGAATTAGAGACTCATCTCTGTGTTTCAATGAGCTTTTCCTCCCTGAAGAGGTCTAACCCAAATAGCCTACCTGAGCTTCAACTGAATGGATGTGGCTGTATCCACTGAGGATCTATGACGTTATATTACATGAAAGCTTAAAAAAAATGTTTTGAGGCATCAACATCAAGATCTTTAAGATTCAAACAGGATAACCTTTCAAAGGCAGAGCTTAGCAAGCAAAAAAATCCAAGGCAAAAAACTGTGGTAACGTCAAAATACTTGTTTCTGGTTTTGCCTACAAGAAACATATTTCAGTGTGTTCAGTTTTAATGACTTATTTTAAAAGAGCACTCCATTTCAGAAAGACATTTGTCTCAGTAAGACCTTTTAGTGTCACTCAAACAGGTCTTGTCTGAAGATCAATTTTCATCATATAATCACATGGGGTTTTTTTGTCCATTTGTCCACACTGGGTCTGATATTACAGCTCACAGGGATGATAGCTTGAGTTTGTTGGGGACAGAAGGCACCATCTGGGAATCCAACAGGGAACAGGCTGCTGCACACAGCCTGCAAAAGCGGAGGTCTTTGAAAGGAAAATGGAGCTATTTTCTCAGCTGGAGAGAATCCATGCAGTTCTAGTGACTACCAGAATGATTCTGATTTACAAGCAAAGAAGATGAAGCCCCTGGTGTTTATTCCTTATATATACTTATATAGTAGCATTTCAAAGGAATCAAGGTCTTACTACCGCAAAGTGAGTTTTCCTAGAAAAAAGCCTCTGCACTGTATCTAGCAAAGTACACAATTATTTGTCAAGGACTTTCTTGTTACTATTGGAGCTCTGTGTCAACAAATTAATTTCTCTCAGAACTGGTCAGCTCTAACAAAACCCACACATCAGTTCCAGAAATGGAGGCTGATGAATGGACATATAAAAGAAGTAATGACGGCAGCCAGGGCATCCTTTTTATTTCTCTTTAATCTCATTCGATATTTTTATTTGTTTCTGTTTATACATGTTTTCTGCTTCGTAACGGAAAATAGAACTAAGGATTTTTCCCTTGATATTTATTGATAGAAAAAATTAATCCAAAGGTGAGGTCGTGAAGACAGAATAAAACAGTTTATTTCTTATTCTCTTACTTTTATTTATGATGTGCTAAGAATATCCTTATTGCTGGAACAAGATCCTCTCCAACCACAGATGGGAAAGAAGTAGCTTTCATATCTTGCCAGGGCTTTGGAAGTTTAGTGTTTCCATTTCTAAATTGAGATGAAAATTCAGAACTCCAAAATGGAGTTATAAGCCAGTGATCCAAAAAGCATTTGGGCCACTTGTTTTGTCACTGATCAATTATAATCTGAACATTCAAACCCAGAAGCTCTTTTGAACCAAAAGAAACTTTTCAGTGAAAGATTTTGGTTGTAAAAAAATTCTGTTATAAAAACCAAACTCCA